ACAGAAAGACTTACTATTTTTTTCCTGGTGTTTTTTTTTTGTTTGTTTGTTTTGTTTTGTTGTTTTGTTTTAAAGTACGGTCTCACTGTGTATCTCTGGTTGGCCTGCAACTTACTATCTAGACCAGGTTGGCCTTGGAACTCACATAGATCCTCCTGCCTCTGCATCACAAGTGCTGGGGTTAAAGGTTATGCCACCATGCCTGGTCTTATTATTTCATTTTTAAGATAAATGGAAAGCTATTATAAAAGTGTTGTTCTACCATTTAAGAAGTAAGATTGTAGTGAAGCCTGAGTGAAATCAGGGAAAACACAGTGCTGTAGAGTAGCAACCCACTCAGGAGACATTGTGGGCTTAGATCAAGGTAGGAGTAGAGGAAATGAAGAGATGTGATCTGATCTAGCATATGTATATTTTGATTTAAGAGTTAATATGTATAGTCCTTCCCTTCTTAAAGTCTCTAGATTCCTTACAAATTTGTTATATTAACTTTTAGTAAACTAAAAATATGAAGCAAAAATAATCTGGATTTAAGAAGTGAAGAGCAGTGTTAAAACAGCTATATGTCTTTTAACCAAACTTGGAGACTTCAGGATCTAAATATTCTGATCTCGGATGTTTGATCAATAAAATTAAAATATTAACAATTTTTGCGCCTTCCTTACATGACTATTGTGAAAACCGAGTAAGATACCTTACAGTTGAAGTTCTCACAACTAATTTTAACTTAACCAACTTACTAGATTAGCAAAACCTCTGTAATTTTATTATAAAACATACACATGGAGACTAATGGCTCATTAAATGCTAAAATCTAGTAAACTACTCTCCAACAAAAATCCACCTAATTGGGTGTGGATCCATTAACTATAAGGATGAAAATATATATGACTTGATACTAGGTTTGCTTCAAAAGCATATCACATCACATTATATAGATCAAAACTGAAAATTGTACATATGAATTTGGAACTAATTTTTGAAGATAGATCCTCAGAAAATTTACAAGATTCTGATCAGAAAAAACAATAACTCAATAACAAAAATAATTTGGTCATTTATCACATGATTTGTAAAGTGAAACATATTTATATGTTTTCAAATAAAATAAAATAATACTATATGTTTTCAATTAAAATAAAATGTTGAAGACATATAGTTATTGGTAGTTTTCTACTTTAATCTCTTTTCCGTTAATCAGCCAACCTTGTATATATGCTGCTTCGTTCATGGTTCTCAATATTAACCGCACAGCAGAATCTCCTGTGGGCCTTAATGCCTAGGCCTTATCCCTTGAGATTTTGATTCTCTAAGGCTGGAATGAGGCTAGAACTCTTTTTTAGTCCACAAGAATTGAAAACTACTAACTTGTTAAATAGTGAACACTCAAGTAACTAACAGAAATGTAAAAGCAAAACATATTTGCTCTTCAAAGAATTCATAGTATAATGCCAGTGAGAGATCTAAAACATGGATATAAGGAGGTGCTAAATTAACACCACAGGTGCATGCTAGATACAATAGAAAAATTAAGAGGAAAAGCTACCGACTCTGGTGGATGAACAGAACTGGTCTCATAGAGGTGGTAATTAAGATATAAAGTAACTGAGGGTTCTCCACCTGCATATATTAAAGGTAGAAGATAAACTCCAACTGAACTAATAGAACAAAAAGAGGTATCCAGATAGATCACTATGTGATGGTCGTAGGAGCACAGCATGCCTAGGGCAAGGAAATATGTGTAGGAAGGTAAACAGGACACCTTTCTGAAGAGAGCTACATGCATATCAAGCTAAATACTTTAAAGTTTATTGTATAAGACAGTGTTTTCAAACTGAGTTTTACAGAAATCATATTCAGGAAAAAGAGTTCATGTATGTCACATATAGCTGAACAATATGGCATTCAAATGCACACATATTGAACTTAAAACAGGTTATAATAAACTAACATTAACTTTTTTTCTGTTCTTGAGTATTTTTTCATTGATTCATTGATTATGAGGAGCATAGCTTTACATTTCTGTTTTTTAAAAATATTTTCTTTATTATTTTTATTTTATGTGTGTGGGTGTATTGCCTACATGTGTGTAAGTGCACCTACGTCGTGTAATGCTCACAGAGATCAGAAGAGGTCATCGGATTCCCTGGGACTGGAGTTACCGATAGTTGTTAGCTGCCATGTGGGTGCTGGGAATCAAACCCTGGTCCTCTGCAAGAACAATCAGTGCTCTTAACCACTGAGCCATCTCTCCAGCCCCATTTCTGGTTTTTTTTTTTTTTATGATAACAAATGCCCTACTACCTGCTTATGGATGATATTATACAACAAAACAAAATACAAAAAACAATTGTCTGTATAACTTACTATAATTTATAAAACAAATTTAAGACAACAAAACATCACATTTATTTGTTTTAATAGATGTTATTTACTGAGGTTTCACATAAGACTTTTGTTTGTAGAGCACTACTGCTCTATGGAAACCAACAAAGAATTTTTCTAGGTAAATGACATGATTAACATTGTATTTCAGTAATAACATTATTATAACAAAATGAAATATAATAAGATAAAACAAGTGAGGAAATCAGGAAGTGGTTTCAAGGTACAATCAAGAAAATATGACAAAATGAACAAGTACGAGGGGTGGATAAAATGGCATAAAATTCAGAAATGCAAACGAAATAAAATAGGATTTGATTATTCATCAGACAGTAGAGAGGAGCCTGATTTCTAAAAGAACAGAATCTAAATTCTTTATACTTCAATTTTGGTCATGTTGAAAAGGTACCCAGAAAATGCTGACTTCTTACAACTCAGAATAGAATGTTCTTTGCACATTTAATCAGTTAGTCTAAATGAAGTCCCTATTTCAATAGCAGTTCTAATTTGGGGATTTCCTTAATCCATTTTTATATATTCATTACAGACTATGTGACATATAACCTACAATACAGTTATATAATCCCTTTTCAAAATTAACTGCAGTCCTATTCAAAAACGTCATACTATATTCCCCATTTAGTATGACTTCAGTACTACTAATGCATAGCTAATATAGCTCATAATTTATTTGAAACTGGTTACCTTAGAATATAGAATAGATTATAATGGTTATAGTTTTCTGCTACAAACAGGAAATTTTAAATATTTTAACAATAATATGGATATTTTATCAACACTTCCAATTTATGTACTGCCTTCCCCTTACTGTCATCTCATATCTCCCAATAAATCCTATTTCAGAAACAGAAAACAGAAATATTTATGCCCATAATACAGATGCAGAAATCAAGGTTCAAGGGAGAAAAATGTCTTGTCCATGTTCGTATGGCTGGAAAATGGTGGAGTTTTAACTATAACACACATTTCAATTCGTGGGCCAGTGCTTGAAATAGTACATTCTTAACTTCTGCAACCTTATCATAATCGTCTCTTCTTAATAATCGTTTAAATGACTGTGTGTTGCATTTTCTTTCTTGTATTTACATATTCTCCTGAGATCTTTAATTTAAAATCTATACTGTCTTTCTAAATTCAACTGTCCAATACCCAGCTGTTTCAGAAGTATACTTCTTCTACACCAATGTTATCTCTAGTAAAAGTCTCCTGTAACATTATCACATCCACCAATGAAGGGAATTAGAAAATTCTTTTCAGAATGTTGGAAAGAAAAGAGCACTATGTCAAAGATTAGAGAATCAGGGCATAATTCTCCTGCGCAGCAATTCAAATTTGGCTTCCAGGACTCTTGCACAAATCTGTCTTATGACCATTATTAAACCCTTTCTTAATCTGACAGAACAGCCATTTGTATTGAGGGGGAAAATCACTATTCTGTTCAAATTTCACAAGATTGATTAAATCTGTTTAATTATAAATAAACTTGGCTCTTAAGTAAACTAGTAACCATAGACAATATTTTTGTAATGATCCTTCTAGAAGAGCCGAACCAATGACTGAAACTTACCTTAGTATGCAGTATTTGCTTACCACAAAAAAAAAAAAATAAGAACTTCAAACACTTCAATTGAAGTATCAAAACATTTGGTACTTAACTGCTGCAGCTTCCAAAGTTTACTATTTTCTTTATTATGCATTCAAACAAACCTATTTATAATACTATATTTATTTGTATCATACAAATAAAGCTTTTTTCTTGTATAAATCATGTCAAAACATCCAAAGGCAACCCCAGAAAAAGCAATAAAGAAAATACATCACATTACGTCAGAAAGTGATGCTATAACATCTTTATATAGTGATATTATGCTCATTTTGTAAATTCTCATCTTCTCTCTCTGTCAGAACTCTGCTTATTTATTAGAAGTTCAATATCAAAGTATAACTACCTAAAATGTTTTCCTAGTAAACCGGAGCACTGGCTACTTTTGAGTTTTTATAAGTATTGTAAGTTCTTGCAAGCATTAAGCCCATAGTATTTCTTCATATATTTAAAAAGAGTTTAAGACTCTGGAGTGTTTTATATCCAGAATTTTAAGGCACTGTCATAGGACATACTAATCAATTCTGTACTTAATTAATTCTAGTGACATGTTAAAAGCCTTATTTCTTTTACAATGGACAGTGAAACAGAATAACAGTTTCTCCAAATGACAGCACAGAAAAAGAAGTAATTATTTTCACCTTCAGTTCACTCCTTATATGTAAATATTATATTTGCCCACTTTTTGGGCCGTAAAATTTTCTTGCAAAGACTGCTTGTGAGTCACTGCCCCCATACACCTTTAAACTAGCATTGTTTCTTAAGTTGATTGCCAAATTTGATGTCTGAAATATCTTAATTCAAATTGGCCTACACGCCAGGCTTTTTGATACTGGCTTGTCAACAGTTTCTAGCTGCGTGTGTGTGTGTGTGTGTGTGTGTGTGTGTATGTATGTACCTCTGTGTGTGTATCTGTGTGTATAAGTGTGTGTTTCCTTATTCCGTCACAACAGTAAAGATGTAATAGGCCTTATGCCAATTCAAAACTTACCTTGCAAATCTGGAAATATTCTGAAGTCAGGGTTTCCTGAATTTCCTCTCTGAGAACCCCTGCCGTCCCTCCTGGATGTATAGAGCCACTTCCGGCCCCACCACCACTGTTACCTCCACTGCTGCCACCACTGCCAGGGGCCGACGCAGTTAGGCCATCCAAAACTTTTCGAAAATTAAACTTCTTCATTTTAAACACTGTCAAGAAATTCAAAGGAAACGAGAAAGGGGTGACAACCACGGAATTATACCGGGCAAAAAGCCCTTATCTTTTGATTAGTCAAGGCAGTAGTAGCCAGTCCCCATTTTATAAGCATTGGAAAGGACCGAGTTGGGGGGGGGTCAGATTTCATTTTGTCAATTTTTAACTTCCAAAAGCATAGCTTTTATAAAATGCACAGAACGCAACTCCAAGAGCAACAGTATTCCGTCCTCACACACCAGATTTTCAAGGGCTTTATCCCCAGCTGTAGCTATGCTTTATCAGCACTGGGGTAAAAATAAAAGGCAGTGTCATCATCGTCATTAGCATTATATCATCATTATTATACAATCAAACCAGAATCCAACAGAACAAGACCCCCTGAGTCTCTCTGCAAGGGGGGAGGAGGGGGCCTTCCTTTCTTCAGGCTCAGCTCAGAAAATTTTATTTTCAGAAAAAGCGATGCTATGGGGGAGCCAATCTTTACTCTGCCACCATCTTCCAGGCTCTCCCCTCTCCTCTTCCATGCTCCCCCTTTCTCAGCAGGAATTGGGGGGTTACGAAAAATGTCTTTTTCCGTCCCCCGTTCCCCAAAACCCGGACCCTCAGACATCCGCGGATGACTCACGGCCGCAGCGACGCCGCCTGCCTCCACTTGTCCCCGGGTCCCCTCGGCTCCCTAGTCCCCTCCCCGCGCCCGCCGTCCGCTCCCCGCAGTACGGGGCGGCTCTCCGGGGATGCCAGGCGGCGCGGACTGCGGCCCGGGTCCCGCCTCAGCCTGCGGGGCGCACTCAGCTAGCTGCACTCCTCGGTCCGCTGTGGCGCGGACGGGCGATAGCCTGGCTCCCGCGGCGGGCGGGAGAGCACCCGCGCCTGGGACAGCGGCGGCCCGCAGCGGGCCCGCGCAAAGCCACGCACCTCAGACGGCCGCGAGCACTCGCACTCACGCACAGGTGTGAGGCAAGCCGCGACGGGACCACGGCCGCAGCGTCCCTCCGGGAGCCCAGACTTAGGTGCCTTCCTCAGACGCCACCAGCTGCCCGCCAGCCCGGGAAGACGAGGGCACGGAGGGCGGCGAGCTCCCGGGAGTCACTGCAGCCCGGCTGCCGCCGCGTCTCCAGTCCCTTTGCTCGCGGTGCCTGGCGCTCTCCGAGGTCCTAACCGAGCGGGCGGGCTCCGCCGCAGGCTCCGCCCCCGCCGTGGGAGGCAGGCCCCGCCCCCCGCCGGCCCTCGTCCCCCTCCCTCCCAGACGTGCAGGGGGGCGGGGTGAGGGCGGGGAGATGGTCAACGTCAGAGGGCAGGACTCCTTGCCGCCTATCCTAGGCTCCACTGGGCCGAGTTCCCGGGCTCGAGGCACGGAAGAAACTTGGTGATAGGTCGGACGAAAAGTCAATGACGGGGGAGGGGATAATTTAGGAAAGTAGATGAGGTATTTGATTGACAGCCGTACTGTCCAGTGTACCCGGGCGCCGTGCTTTGGGGGCTGTAATTGGCGCTACCTGTTGAAGGACGCTAGTGTGAATCAATAGAATGCTTGCAAGCTTGCGAAGTTGCGCGCCTAGAGTCCGCGGCTGCAGGAAGGGTTACCTTGGGTCTTGCTCGCGTCGATATTGTGGACTGGACATTTTGCAGCTTTTCCTTTCTGTGAGCCTCTTCCTGCTTGCCAGGTGCATCTCTTAGGCTCCCGTTGCTTCCCTGCTATCTATGCTTAACATGTATTTATAACTAACCCTACCAAACTGTTATCTAGTAATGGCTTAACTGGTCATCTCTGCTAAAGTGAATTGCTTTTCGATGGAATGTTAGAATATATAGAATTCCAAATCATAAGGAATCGATTGCCTACCTTGTTCAGTCTACTAAATAGAATTGCTCTTTCCCCTTCTTCACGTACTCATTTTAAGGAAACGTTTTTCTCAATAAACCATGTCAAGATGTATTTTAAGCTTTTTTTTTTTTTTTTTCCTGAGGTACAATGATCAATGTGGAAGATAGTCCGTTCCATACAGGAAAATAGAACACTATGTCATTGTGGGAAGATGTAGTTCTGAACCCTATCTTCCTATCGTGAAACTACAGAAATGTTGGTCTTAATGTCGTTCGTCTGTTAAAATGAAAGATAGCTCAAGGCCCATAACTAACTCTATCCTTGAATTTGAGCAACCCAACAGAGATGATTAGTAATTGACCCAACTATCTATTGTCTTATGTCTTAGATCTAGGATGACATCCCCAGCCCCACCCCTTTTCTCTCTATCAGAGGAGGGGGTGTGAGCACTGTAAAGGGAGGCTTGAACCTAGTATGAATTGCCCAGGCATGCTGCAAGGAAATGGTGGAGGTGGAACAGAGCCAAGATTTTCAGATCCTCAGTTCGATGCTCATGTTCTCATTTTGAATTTTTCACTTGTTAACGTTTGCTTTACTTCTTCTTGTGACATGCTATACTTTCATTGCCATAGCTAGATAGTACTTTTCTTCAAAGGCTGGCACAGAATTTTCTATTTCTCCTGGTTTTTATTTTAAAAGGAGAAAGTAGAAGTTTGTTGGTGGATTAGGCATTGTTGTATAAAATAATGGATTCAGAAGTCTTCCTTTCTTCATCAAAAGTCTACATATAACTCCTTAAATATCAAACAAATGGAAACAGGCCTATCGAGGTCTGGGCTCTGGACGAAAGTGAAGAAAGAAGCTATCCTACTTCAGCCAAGAGAGACACAATGCTTATAAGCAAAGTTTAAGAGCCACTCATCACTAGCACCATACTATCACAAACTAAGTGGTGGGTTTCATTCTAGGAAATGAAAGAGGGCTGAAGAAGGAAAACAATGAGGCTGGAGACATGGCTCAGAAAAACATTGACTGCTCTTGCAGAGGACCCAGATTTGGTTCCCAGCACCCACATGGTAGCTAAGCATTAGTAAGTCCAGTTCCAGGGGGATCTGACACCCTCTTCTGGCCTCTGGGCATTGTGTGCTTGTGGTAGGTACACTTACATACATGCAGGCAAAACACTTAGGCATGTAAAATAAAAATAAAAAATTTTTAAGAAAAAAAAAAACATGAAACAGCATGACAAAGTCTCCTGGAGAATTAAGAAGGGAATTCAACAGTCTTCTGAGTTAAAAAAAAAAAAGATGTGATAAAGCCTGTAGTCCTACAGATGGAACAACAAATAGGTATGAAACATTGAGGGAAAAACATGTCAGAAAATAAAAATGTTTTCAAATAAATATTAGAAACTTAAACTAGCTGATGATGTAATTCAGTGTTAAAGCACTTGCCTAATATGTGCAAGGTCCTGGAACAACCATCTGTAACTCCAGTTCTAGGGGATCCGACACCCTCTTCTGACCTCCGTGAGCACTGCATGACACAGATGCACCTATCTACATGACAACATAAATAAAAATAAAATTTAAAATAATAAATAAAATAAAGCAAATATATATATATGTATATATATGATACTTGGATGATGGACTCTGGATTATTTTAAGTATCAGTGTTCTTCCACAATTCCTTTTACATGGTAAATGTCCAGAAAATATTAACTTGAATAAATTGTGCAGGTGAAAAATTTTAGCATAAATGAGGAATAGACAGAGAGAAGGTCCTGTGGATCTCCTGAAAATAAATGGTGCCAACACATGCCATGAGCAGATGTATATGAGGAGAAGGCAGAGGGCACTGTGTATGTAGAGACAACATACACATCATAAGAATCCTAGTACATGAATCATTATGAAATATCTGAGGAAGCACATTCCATCTTTAATGAATTACAAAGCAACAGAGTTTTATTCTATAAATCATGTGGTAGCAAGAATGAAACCAGAGCATAAAATATATCTTCTAAATAATATGGGAAATGCTAGACCTAGACCAGGTAATGACATTCCACTGTATACTTAAAGAAGAACCTCTTGGGGCTGAATCACCCAGGTGGAGTATTTTAATAGGCTATAGCTTCTTCCTAAATTGACAAGTATAAAGAGCTACAAGAAACTCTCCAACCCTCTCTCTCCAGGGAAAGTTGATTGGGCCCTCCGCACCTTGACTCCCCCAGCCTCAATCACCCTTCCATCTCCCCCGCCAATCTCTCCTCCGAGTCCTGTCCTATTCCTTGTCCTGGCACCCCAGACACCTGGGGAACCACCATTGCTTCCTGATCCTTTGCATCTAGACCAACTCAGTTCCTTCTCAGGTCCCCAGCAGCACTGTGGGCCTGGCCCCACCCTCATCTCCCTCTACTGTCCTGGGCCTGCCACACCCACTAGCCTCTTTCCTGGACGCCTGGGCTGACCTTTCCTCTTCCTGATCCTTTGCATCCAGACCAACCCAGCTCCTCAGTGCAGTCCCCAGGAGCCCTTGAGGCTGCTTCCCGCCCCCATCTTCCTTTGCATCTCTAGGTGGAACAGCCACCAGCTGCCCTAGACCAGCATCTTTCCTGGGCCCCGCTCCCAGGCCAGTCCAACCACCAAATTCCCGAGGCCAAAATCGTTCCTGGAGGGATCCAGACCTTAGGAGAAAGCCTGAGAGCATCTGATCCTCATCTGACATGGGCCTCTGTAGAAG